AAGACAAGAAATTCCAGTCAAAGTGGTTAACCTTGTGGCCATGGCTGGTGTTTTAAAGAGATGCCATGTTTTGTAAGATTTGCCTAAAACATGGCAAAAAAATACCATGACCTCTGGTTGTAAAACATTCAAAACAAGTAGCATTACCAGACAAGAGGAACTGATGGATCACCTTGCGGTTACTGCAAGTTAAGTGCGGATGTATCAGACACAACAGTAATTGTACAGGTTGCTGGTGCAATTTATCAGAATGGGAATGAAAAGCCCACAGAAAGATGGTGTTTTGAACCCGGTATGAGGACGGTTTCAGATAAAGATTTTACTTCTGTTTTAAGCCACTTGCAGAAGGGATTTGGCATTAAGGAGAAATGTGCAATCCTGAACATCATCAAGTTCAAAATTCAGCTGTCTTCCAAAGACTTTCGGCCAAAATTACCTGGGTGGCCTAAAGGACAATTTTGCAAATTGACAGGCAAGAACAGTGGGAGACTGATTTACCACAGATTATTACCGGTAGTCATCAAAGGGAGATGATAGGTAAGTCATGCTCTGATTGTTCAATGCTACACGTATGAGCGTACATGAAAATATCTCCAAGTGGGACTTTCTTGACTTTATTCATCCTCAGAATGTCATTAATTACTGTACAGGTTAAACTGATTTCTCAGAAAATCATTGAATACTATGAATGAATACAATTTGGCACTATGATATCAAAAAATGTCTTCAATTATTCATTACAGGTCAGTGAAATTCAATAACATTTCAGTGTCGAAGAGAAGTGAACGCTAAGTTGAGGTCACACTACAACACTTGTTCACTGCCTGTACACAACACAAGTGAAATCATGGCTTCAGCGAAACAAGGGAAGTGATTGGAAACCCTCTCTCATCTTAGTAAGGTTATGTAATGACCTGTAATAGTCACACCACAACTAAAAACTGCCATCTTAACAGTCACACCAGGTCAAAGTTTTTATGATATTTGGGGTGCAACAGTATGTTTAATGTCAATGTAATATATGTCAAACTTGATGAAGGGATAGTATTTGCTTTTTCAGTTAAAGTGTTCGAACTTGAAGTGAACAATGTTAATCAATCTCTTTTGGCAAATAAACAACAAAAGGGGCAGTCAGCTGATGAAACAACTCAAGGAGCTTCTTCAATGAACACTTCACCAACAAAGCCACAAAATGCTAAGAGAAAGCCAGGCTGTCCAAAGAGTACAAACAGAGAGGACAACAAAGCCTTGTGTAAACAACTGCGATCTAATCCAGAGGGAAAAGGGATTGAAAGGAAAGCATGGCAAAATACAAAGTGGGATGAATTCAAAGCAGGTTAGTTATTCAGTATCATATTTAACAGAACTAAACAATATTTATTGTTGCTACATGAATTTTGAAGGTTGAGCTAATTTCATTTCAACGTTAATTTCCCCCTATTGGTTAGCACATTGAACTCTGGGTCAAGAGTTCCAGGTTGGCACCCTGGACTGGGTCATTGTAGTATGACCAGCTGTTGTGTTCTTGTGCACAACATGTAACTCTGACAGTGCCTCTCTCCACCCAGGTGAACAAATGGGTACTGGCGAACTGTTAGAGAAATGTAACAAGTGCTTTGGGGGTTACTGCGATGCACTAGCATCCCATCCAGGGGGGAGCAGTGCTCCTAGGAGAAACTCCTACACTGCAACTGGCTCCTTTAATCTATGGGATTCAGAATAGACTTTAACTTTAACTTAACTGACTTCTAGAAATGCATTTTGCATACCCTTGCTGGATACAACCTTGCCATCATCACCTACAGTGCTTATAAATTAACCTCACTTAGACCCAACATAAGTAATAATTATTAATACCTAACTGATAAGTTTCTCTAGGAATACAAAGTGTGTTTTAAATTTGCTATTCCCTTTTTCCTGTATCCCGCAATGATTGTTTGCTTTTAACTACAGAAAGGACACGTTGTTTACCGTGGACACATCAACAGGTGCATTCCGGATGACGAGCAGTGTCGGCAGTTTCGTGGAGTATTTGAAGTACCTACATTTGTTCGGAGAGACATTTGGACTTCACCTTCAAAAGAAAGCTCCTCTTGCAGTTGAGATAATGCCAGCAATAGAGGGACTAGGGGGCATTAAATCACTCCCAGAATTCGATGCTCTCGATGAAATTTGGGGGACAAGGGACTCAGTAAATCCCAAATACGTCATAGAGGCAGGTACATCTGAAGTAGATGAAGAGGGAAAGAACAAGTTGGGCAGCCGGGAAAACACTCTCAACCTGCAGATGACAATAATGATGCCTCAACAGATGAAGAGGAACTAGAACAAGCAAAACAGCTATTTTTCAAAGACAAGAAAAAGCCAGATTCAAAGAAAACGAAGAAAAGACGAGCGTGCCAAGGATCAAAGAGAGGAAGAAGACATGCTGAAGGAGCTAATCAAGGCACAAACAGAAGCTGCAAAGAGAGCAGAAGAGAAAAAGAGAGAGCTTCTCCAATATCTTAGGGAGTCTGACAACCACACCCAAGAGCTTGTGCTTGGTGCAATACAGGAATTAGGCGCAATCGTAAAAAAGTAAAAGTTCAACCTTTTTTCATCCTTGTTTACAAGGTTCTTTTTCGTTTCATTACTGTTATTTTTTACCGTTACAGTTGCAGTTACAGTTTTGTGACAGAATGTTTGAATAATTTGAGAATGAAGTTTCCCAATTCAGTTTTTTCAGACTCACTAGATAGGCAGGAATGGAAACTAATACTCTAAAGTATGACCATATAATTACAGTACTTTTTCAAGAATATACATGTTATAAACAAAGTTAAGCAAGAATTTGTCAAAGTAAACAATTTTTGTTACATTTCTAGCTGTTATTTGGAATTTAATGATTAATGGTGTGNTCAGTTTTTTCAGACTCACTAGATAGGCAGGAACGGAAACTAATACTCTGAAGTATGACCATATAATTACAGTACTTTTTCAAGAATATATATGTTATAAACAAAGTTAAGCAAGAATTCGTCAAAGTAAACGATTTTTGTTACATTTCTAGCCATTATTTGGAATTTAATGATTAACGGTGTGTGCAATTTATTATTTTTGTTTTTTACTAGCAGAAAAAAACATGACAAAATATGTGTTGTAATAGAAATGTACATGATGAATAGTTGTAATCTCTAATTCTAGATTTGTCCGTTTAATAAAATGACAATCTATATTTTAGAAACAGGCTACCTTGAAGCTAGAGTTGCTGATTCCCCTCATTCGTACTTGAATATTGAATTTAATTTTAAAAGAGTGTGTGAATTTATCCGATCAGATGTAGGATTGCACTATCAAAATGAGTTTATTCAGCGCGAAATGCAGTAAGAGCTTGCCGTACAATTCATTCCTGCCCGAACACAACCTGATCGTCGTCATCATCATCATCTTCATATTCGGAACTATCGTCATCTTCGAACTCGTCGCCCCTTAAAACACAAATGTTGTGCAAACTACAACACGTCAGGATAGTATGTGGAACTTTTGGTGTCTNAGTTGCTGATTCCCCTTGTTCGTACTTGAATAGTGGATTTAATTTTTTAAAAGTGTGTGAATTTATCCAATCAGATGTAGGATCCCACTATCAAAATGAGTTTATTCAGCGAGAAATGCAGTAAGAGCTTGCCGTACAATTCATCCCTGCCCAAACACAATCTGATCGCTGTCATCATCGTCATCTTCATCATCTTCATCATCGGAACTATCGTCATCTTCGAACTCATCGCCCCTTAAAACACAAATGTTGTGCAAACTACAACACGTCAGGATAGTATGTGGAACTTTTGGTGTCTTTTCTTCAAGTGGCTTCAATAGGCACCTCCAATGACACTTCAGTTTTCCAAATGCCCTTTCTACTATTACCCCGCTTTTGCTCAAAATCTTATTAAATTTGGCTTGATTTCGATTAAGGTTACAGGAATGGGGATAAGGACTAACCAGCCAGGGTAGTAAGGAGTAAGCTGAATCACCAATCAGAAGGGAGCACTGTTACTCCATTAATGCATTTCACTGGCTCAGTCAAAATAAGGTTGTTTTCGGCTCTTTGGTACAGTGTACTAAGTCGCAATACTCTGGTATCGTGAATACTACCGGGCCATCCTGTGCTGACGTCTATAAATTTACCAGTAGCATTGACTACTCCTTGCAAATTAATTGAATAGTTTTGTTTTCTGTTGAAATAATCTTCATGATTAACCTGAGGTGTTTTTATGGTGATATGTGAACCATCTATTGCTCCAACAACATCTGGAAATCCAGCTAAACTTTCACCCCTCCTCATAGCCAGTGCAACATCAAGTGGATCATCTGGGAACCGGATAAAATCATCTTTGCGGTGTATTAAGGCTTCCATAAAGTTTTCACATATCTTTATTACAGTAACTTTTCCTTGTCTGAATGTTATTCCTGTCGTTCTATATGAATTGCCGGTTCCCAGTCTCCATAACGCAATTGCCACACACTTGTTCAAAGCAACAGCCCTTCGGAAGCGAGTATTTTGCCTTGAAAGGTCTGGTCCAACCAGCTGGCAAATGTAATCAACTGTCTCCTTTGTGACACAGAAGTCATTTTTCCACAAGGCGGAGAAGACTGGATTCTGGTACATCTCTTCAAACCAACCCTGTGGTCTGGGATATACCCACGCCACTCTTCATCACCGCACAGAAGTATGTCTTAGTCTTCTAATTCTTCTCGTGAGGAGAGCAATGATTAAGTCATACTGCCTTCTCTTACAGAGAATATACATGTTCAGGGCAATAAATCTGAACCTCTGAAATTTCCAGATAGCAATGATTACAAGAAGAATAGCAAGTATCATAAGGACCGTGCATTCAGAATCCATGGCGCAGGGTGGACACAGNGAAAGGTCTGGTCCAACCAGCTGGCAAATGTAATCAAATGTCTCCTTTGTGACACAGAAGTCATTTTTCCACAAGGCGGAGAAGACTGGATTCTGGTACATCTCTTCAAACCAACCCTGTAGTCTGGGATATACCCACGCCGCTCTTCGTCGCCGCACAGAAGTATGTCTTAGTCTTCTAATTCTTCTCGTGAGGAGAGCAATGATTAAGTCATACCACCTTCTCTTACGGAGAATATACATGTTCAGGGCAATAAATCTGAACCTCTGAGCTTTCCAGATAGCAATGATTACAAGAAGAATAGCAAGTATCATAAGGACCGTGCATTCAGAATCCATGGCACAGGGCGGACACAGAAGGTTTTTTCCCCAGACAAAAGTTCCGCAAGTATGTCTGAGCTTATTTGCGTTTCTCATCAAATTGCAATTTGATTGACACACTTTGGACAAAAAGCCATCTGGGAAATGTTTAGTCAACATGCACAGTTTACTATAGTCAACTTTTGCTTACTCACTTTTACCACGGTAAGAGCCCTTTACTACAGTTAAGTTCCTAATGTGACCTCAACCATTGCCAACAAGAAACGGATGACAGTGCATGCAAGAATTATTGACCCCAAAACTTCTGTGGCCGAAATGATCTACTTAAGGGATGTGAAGTACGAAGATGGTTAGATGCCTAGCCCAAGAAATTTTAAACAAAGCCCAGAAGAGGAAAATACCTCCCTCAAAGATGATTGGATTTGGGTCAGATGGAGCGACCGTCATGACCGGAGAAAACAAAGGCGTTAAAGGAAGGTTGAAGTAGCAAAAGGCCCACATGGTACATATTCACTGCATGGCACACAGGTTGGCCCTCTGCACAAGCCAAGCAGCAAATGATATACCACGCGTAAAGAAGTACCAGGAGTGGCTTACCTCTTTGTTTTATTGCATGAAAGCTTCCGAAACAAGGGAGAAGGAGCTTCATAAAGTGCAGGAAGTTCTTAATCACCCTCTACTAAAGTATAAAGAAATCCATGCACTTCGGTGGCTGTCCTGTTATGAAGCTGTGGAGGCTGTTTACCATACATTAGACCCGCTGATAAGCTACTTTCATCAACCGAAAGATTCCAAAGACCCCAAGACCAAGGGACTGTTGAAAGCAATGACATCAACACAGTTTATATACATCACCTATCTCTTGATGGATGTTCTGCCTATTGTTTCATGTCTGTGTGTGCAGGTTCAAACAGAGAATCTTGATGTTGCCAAAGCAAAGGTATATATTGTATTTCTATATGTATTTTTAAATTTGAAAAAACATTATATATAATTAACTGACTGTGTTAATTAACTGACTGTTAATAGTTTTCTCTTCTATAAAATCATCAACTGGTCAGCAGAGACATAGCATAGT